GCATTTCAGAAAAATCAAAGGGGGGACTGGAAAGGAGCCAACTTTCATATTGAACAAACTCGCTACTCTCAAAAATATATATATTTTTCATATCCTTCGCCAAAACAACACAAATATTCAGCTTTAATAGCATGTGAAGTATACTAGAGAAATAGAGAAAATGAAGGTGGGCGAGGAAGAGGCGAGGATAACATTGAGATTACCTGCGCATCAAACTTCTCGGACCGCGGTTTGAACTCCTGGTAAAAATGGAATGGAACTACGAATCCAGTTCGTAACAATTTCACTGCCGTAGCATAACTCAAATTACCACCATTCTTTTCCATGTCACCATTTTTTTCACCTTTGATTTGGCTCGATGCGCAAATGAATTCGTCGTCCTTGAATCCTTTCGGCTTTAGCGCCTTCCCATTTAGTTCTAATATCTGGTATTTCAATCTATGAAAATTTGCTACTCTTTTTTCTTCAATTGCATCAAAATCTTCGAAATATAAAATGTTGTCGACGACAAAATTTGCCAAATCTTCGCAGTTTATTGAATCGTAAACTGGCAAACTAGTGACTAATTTTCTTTGAATTGATTCTAGGCGTATGCTGTTTTTTCGGTCACTCATTTTAAGATTGAAAAAAAATTTCCTGGACAAACTTGTTCTCTTTTTATGCTCAATACTCTTGCTGGGCTTCGAAGTGCTAACAAAATGCGACGATTTGCGATTCGAGCCCACGTGCTTTTTCATCTAAAAAGATAATAGCTCTTCTCCATTCCCCCCCCCCCCCCCCAAATTTCAATTTTTCATTTTTTTCAGTTGTCTTACGTTTTATTATGGCTGAATAAGTGATGTTACGATGTAAGGTATGGAGAACAAATCTGTTCACAATAGCTAGTTTGTTCACTATGCAAAATTTCATTACAATCTGATAAAGCAAATTTAGTCTTTCAAAACTGAAAATCAAAAGTGGGGGGGGGGGTGGTGTAAAAGAGCCAAAAAAAATGAAAAAAATCTGCCCTGACAAGATCTAAGCTCCATTTCGATTCCCAAACCCCCCTCCACATTTGATTTTCAATTTGGCTAGCTCTTGTGAACATATTTGTTCTCCATACTTTACATGGTAACATCAATTATTCAGCCATAATAACCTTATTGCATTCGACTTGTTGTTCGAGTAAGTTTCGACTATACACTTTGTGTTCAACTATGTTTCGACATTACTGAATTATCGACTTTCTATTCGACTATGACTCGAAAAAGTGTTTGACCATGTTTCTACCATGTTTCTACCATGGTTTGATTACTTTTCAATTTCCGTTTTCAAAAAAATGTTAACTTTGTTTCAAATTTTTTTAAACAAAGTCACAACTCGATGAATTTTGGCATGGTGAACAAACTAAAAATTGTGAACAAATTTGATCTTCATACTTTAGATCTTAACATCAAATGTTTAGCCATAATAACCCGTGAAATAACTCTAGAAAAACGTCAAAGTTACTGTCAAAAAAATGGGCGTAGGCGCTTGTGCAGCGAAGCTTTTCACAATCTAGTCTCTACCCGTTGAAATCAAAATCTTTGATTTAGCAAAGTGAAAAAAATTCTAAAGCATTTAAAAATTTTAATAAAAAAAACCTATCCCATACGTTTTTATAATACCTGTTTTATCACAAACAGGAATTCTAGGCAAACATGCCGAGCGAGGCATTTAAATTTTCGGTTAGCAACGGAACAGAACTTACGAAGCGGAAACAAATCCGACGAATTTTGAGCAAACTCCAGTTCAGTCGGAAAAACATTGAAAAATGTTGTTCCAAAATAATTTTAAAAATATGAACAAATGTATTTTTCATACTTTAGATCTCATCATCACATAGTTTAGCCATAATAACCCGTAAAACAACTGCAAAACATAGTAAAAATTTTTGTGTGAAAAACACGGCGTAGGCGCTTGTGCAGCTAAGCTTTTCACTGCCCAGTCTATGGGCTATCAGTTGAAACCAAAATCTTAGATTTTGCAAAAAGTGGAAAAATTATTGGCTTTCGGAAGTGTAACTTTATTTCAAAATTATTTTTAAAAATTTACAAATAAAAAGTGACAGGTGAAGGGGAGAAATCTTGCCCCAATGTTTGTGTAATGTATGTTCCATTTTAGTGACACTTGCTAATCGGCAGCATCAAAATTTACTATAGCCTGGCCAAATGGAGTTTTGTAAATTTGCGCACAGATAATAGAATACTCATATTTCTCCATAGAATTTCTCCATAGAATTTCATTTTAGGCAAAGATGCTAGACTTTTGAATAATAAATTAGCAACAGCACGGAGCTTTCGAAAAAAAAATAAAGCTGACAATGTTTGAGCAGACACAAAATGAGCCGGAAACAAAATCATTTTATAATCTTTTTTCAATTTCAAGTCACCCTGAAACTAAGTTTAATAAAAATGACTTTGCAGCTTCAAAGATTGTTGCTTCTAGAACTATAACAATCGCGATAAAAACAACTCAGCCGACAATTTTGAGCAGACACAAAAAAAATATTTGAAAAAATTTCAATTCCCATTGAAACTACATGAACAAGACTTGCTCTTCTAGTTAAAATGAAAATTCCCTACAGCACACGCAAAATCCGTGATGTGCCAGCCAAGCCGACATTTGTAGTGCAGACATCAGTACGCATAGTTATTAGCAAAAAATAACTAATTTTATTTGAAAAAAAAAACATTAAGTCCCCCATGAACCTACATTGAAGAACACTTGCACTTGCAACTACAATGAAAGTTGCTTACAGCACAACCAAAATCCATACCGGGGAAACTAAGTCGACTTAACTTGAGCAGACAAACAAAAGTCCGACAATTCGATTTCTACCGTTATTTCAATTGCAAAAAAAAACAAGGTCGGGCAGGGACTCAAACCCCTGACCTTATGGTGCAAACGCAACGGTGTTACCTCTAGGCCAAATGGTCACGAACCTGTAAGTTTTTGAGCTTCAATAATAAAGCAAATAGCAGCAGGAGAGATTTAGAAGAAAAATTGTTTACAAGTTCCCGATTACAATACACTTGCTTTCGCCAGTGTTAAAAAACAATACCTGCAATTTCACGCTTTGATAGAACACTTAAATTAGAAAGTAACGTCCTGAAAAAAAGATCATCTATATTTATCTTACCTCGCTTTTGGCTCGAATGCGATAATTTAGTTTCAGCTTGCGTAATGCAATGAAGTTTTTCTGATAACTTCACGCTGAAATCAAAGTTTATTAAATCTGATCTTTTTAGTTCTTTTGCAATTCTTATAGCATGTTTCAAGTCTTGTACCTTGAATTTATTTAATTTTAGCATTGAACTATGCCGCTCAATTTGAACCCACATTTTTTTGATGTGCATTCCAATTTGATAACACTTCTTCTGGTGAGCAAGCTCTATGTCATAGACGCGGAGCAGAGGTTCGCTAAACTTGCGACACAGAACTGAAATATCTCAAAAAACAATACTTTCTTCATTTTCCCAATTTAAAAAAAATTGAAATGAAAATATACCCAAAACCTTATGCTCCTATCAAAGATTACTTTCCCAAAAAAAATCCAGTCAAAAATAAGCAGTTAAAAATAGCGCATATAACAAACTCTAATAATTTGTGAAAGACGTACATATTTCAATTTAATGTCAATTAAGAAGTGCTCAGCTATGACGACAGATACGTATAATTGAAGCATGAAAAACTTCTAAAAAATAACAGAAGTAAGTCGACATAAATAAACCGACTCTCAGAAAGCCAATAAATCAATTTTCAACCCTCATCAGAAAAACAAGTTTTAACGAAACGCAGTGAAATGCTCCTACTGTCATTACAAGAGCATAAGTACGTAATTAAATGGATTTTTTCGGAAAGCAGGAAACCGAAAACAAATATAATATTAAGGGTGATTCAATTGATCGTTTGTAAGACTAATAATCCAAAAAAGTGAACAGCTAAAATAGTTCAAACCGAGATTAGTTCTAACTGCAGAACTTTACCTCGTCCACACAATCCGTTAAGCCTTACACGAAGCTCTACAACATTTGGGCCACGAACATGGTCCCAATTACAATACAATTGCTCTTATATGTGTATAAATTGCTTTGAAATTCTTCTTTTGAAAACCATGCGATTGCATTCGAACTTTTATTTCGACGCCCCATTTTCAAATTCAACAGAACCCTTGAAGCGAAACATGTAACTGGAATTAAGACTTAAGAACCCGTTAGAAAAAAATCAGTTATCATTATTTAATTCAGTTTTCGACGTTGAAAATGTTCGTTTCGTTGAAAAAGAATGCAATCAGTTAAATCGAGTTCAATACTTACGCTAACAGGAGCTGATTTTCCAAAAAAAGCATCAATCTTTCACTATACTTGAGCGTCGATCAGATTAATTTTCGTAACTCAAAGAAGTTCTAAGAAGTCCCTAGTTGGCGAGAAAAAATTAGAAGCTTTATTGGCTGTGTGAACTGCGAACAGTCCAAATCCCTTCCAGTCAAGTACGTCTATTATCTTAAATTAAAAACATTCCTCAAAAACTTGAATTAAGCTGCGGATTTTTTGTACTCAAAACTTTGTTAACTTATAGAAAATCAGTTTAAATCTTTTCTAATTTAGCTCTTCAATAAAAAAATAGCCAACAGAAAGTTGGAAAAAAGTCAATGAACGCAATTAGACAGAAAAAACACTTGACTTAATTTTTGAAATCTCAACTTCCGAATTTCCAAGAAAAAATTAGATGCCCTTAAAACAGTTTGAATTTCTAGAACAATTTATGATTGGCCAATTTTTTGATAAAATTAACCCAATTTGAGAAAACTGGATCAAAAAACAAAATTTTCATTACGCTCGGAAATCTGAAAATTAAATTCCACTTTCGAAAGTAGAAGACGATCACGTTTTTCGTGACGTGTATACTTTTGCTGTTCGAAAGTGAAGTTTGCCTTCCTTTTTACAAAGGAAATTAAACGAACTTTAAAAAAGCAAAAGTCAAACCGCGAAAAAGTAAATTTGAGACTGAACTAATTTTAGGATTTGTCCTGAAAAAAAATCATCGCCACTTACATAAGAGTCTGAACTACGTTCATTGACTGTTAAACATACAAGACAAATTTCAAAAAGAAAATAGCATCGCTTGAAATGAATTTCAAAGTTTCACCGTTTCATGAGAAAATGAGTGGAGAATAGAATAGCAATAGGGACACTAAAACAAAGCAAACACTATGAGTCCAATATACAATAAAAATCTATTATCTATAAATACAGATCTCTTCAAAAAACTTCTTTTTCCTATCAACAGCATTTACAAACTACTATCGACCTATTGAAAAAACTTAACCAACGGTTAAGCATATATGATCTTGAAAGCAACTAACGCCACTCAATTGTTGCAATATGACAAAAAATTTAAAGAGATCCATTAAATCAATTAAAACTCAAGCTAATGAGAGAATACACTTCTATTTGATGAAAATATCATGTTAATAAGACATCTGCATACATAAAGACATTTGAACATTATTAAGATAATGATTTCACAAGAGCAAAAACGACACGTTATAGGTTTCTGAAACACGCGTTAGCTTCCAATTCAGTTTAGTCAACATGCAACTCGCAAACAAATACACACTAAAAGTTGCCACAGTGCTTCTACGAAGATGTCGCAAAGTTCTTAGGTCAACATCAGCTTTTTAAATTCCTTTTTTCCCGTCCGGCATGGCAAACTTCCCACAGGCTCAGTGGAGTCAATTCCTATACGTCTAATGATTCGCCTAGTCCAGATGCGAATGTTTCTATCTGATTTGGGTGAACAAATTTAGCACTGAATGTGAATCCTAAAACAAAACCATCTCGATGAGTATCTAATTGTTAATTTTTAACGGATTATATAGAATTTTAATCAATTAGATCTATTTCCACAATCACAGTCGAAGGAGGGGTAAAACATATTTTCTGTCTCAAAGGAACCTCATTTTTTTTTCAAAGACGCATTCGACACCAACATTTTAGATTTTTTAAAATTAGTTGCTGAAATTAGTACGCCTATTATCGCGATCGAAATGAAATTGCAAAAATGTGTTTTTAGTAAGCATTTTATATCGATCGAAATCAAATTGCAAAAGTGTTGAGTTACAAACCTAAAGCAACAGCTTAAAAGCAGACTTACATTTTCTGCTCTTGATTTGCTGAAAACATTCCAGAATCGAAGTGTCTCATCGCCTGCGCCAGTTACGATTGATTCGCCATCGGGAGAAACAGCCTATTAATAATTCCAAGTCAAGGACAGCAACAGTATTAATGGTTCGATTTGTTAAAAAACTAGTTCCTCTGTTTTTTTTGGTTTTCTCAAACTGTTTCAGACTTCCTGTTGGCTATATTTTACAAAGACAGAATTTTTTGAAAAAGTTCATCTTGAGTTAGTTGTAAACAAAAAAGATACATGATCTTGAAGCTTTTCGAGTCTTTTATGATTGACATTTTTTTCATCAAACTAACCCAATTTCGGGTTTAATAACTGGATCAAAAGAACATAGTCAAAAGAGAGATGAAAAGTGTAAAGGGACAAGGATATCGAACATAGCCAATCGAAGATTGGAGAAGAGTAATGAACGCAAGTAAACATAAAAAACTGACTTTCTTGAAAAAACCTCAACTTTCAAATTTCAAAGGAAAAAAAAGATGCCCTTTGAGCTCTTTGAATTCCTAGAACAATTTATGATTGGCGCTTTTTGAAAACATGAACCCAACTAGAGAAAACTGGATCAATAGGTAAATTTTTTCTGCGCTGGAAATCTAAAAATTGAATTCCACTTTTGTCAACTAGTAATCTTTCACGTTTATTAGCGCTTATTCCCCGTTCGTATTTGAAGTGCTTTTTCAATCACTTTCAGCAGATGAACTTCAATTGAACTCAAAAAGTGCATATATACCTAAGTGCATTCATAAATGCATCAATATGTATGAATGCACATCTGTGATTATTGGAGACTTAAGACTTTTCCTAAAAAAAAAACTCAGCAAGAGCTATATAAGAGTCTTCACTACGTTCATTACTCTTTAAAAAAGTTAATTTTTGATCATATAACAATTGTCGAAGAAAAAAACATCTCAGATTAAAGCTCTTTGAATTTCGAGAACTGTCTATGATTCGCACTTTCTTAAATTTTCTTGAAAGAAACCCAAATTGAGAAAACAATCAATGCGTAGAATCAGTTCGTAGTTGGAGCGCGAATTTTGCCTGACTTTTAATGAACTTTAATTGAACTTGAAATGCATATATACCTTAGATCACCCATAAATTCATTAATATGAATCATTCATTTCTGCTGTTATTAAAACATTTCATGACTTTTTCCTGAATAAAAACGAACACTAAAAATCGAATAAAAACGAACACTAAAAATCACTAAAAACGAACACTAAAAATCCTAAAAACACACAACCTATATAATAGGAAAATCATTTCGTTCTTTAACACAGAAAATTTCATTCCACCTCGAAAGTCACTCACGTATCTTTTGCGATATTTGCATATTCGCAATTGGAGAGCGAAGTTTGCTTTCCTTTTAGCAAATGAACTTGAATTGCACTTAAAAAGAAATCATAAGTCAAACCGCAAAACAATCACATTTGAGTGAGATCTAATTTCTTGAATTTTCCTAAAAAAAAACACACGACCTAAATGCTGTCTTCTTTTTTTCCAATGATTCTTGATAAAGAATGCCGCTTATGGTTGAATACATTGTTTCATCCGATTAAACTAAGAAAAAATTCATTTGCTCTGATTTCATTATCAGGTGCATGTGCCCTTTATCAAATAATTGACTCAGCTGTAGAAAAACGCATCTTCTCAATCTGTCTTTTACCTCAAAAAATAACATGAAACAAAACTAACCAGATAGAGCACTCTGAAAGTATGACCAGTCAACTTGACCACTTGCTGCATGGAGGGGTACTTCCAGATCAAAATTTGATTCTGACTGTATCCATGCGTGCTGACCAGTTCACTTGTGTATTTAGCCCATGAAAGATTACACACTTGACTACCCGTGTCGATACTGTTCAGAGGCTGCTGGGTTAGGGTGTTCCAGAATCTGATACATCTATCTGCTGTTCCTCCGCCTGAGGCTAGCAGGCCGTGTTGATGAGGCGACCAGGCGATGGCCTTGACGGCTGCTATGTGGTCTGTGTATTGCTGCAAGTATGTATTGCTTCTGTTGTCCCATACAAAAAGCTGAACATAAAATGAACTTTAAAAAAAAGTCAAGTGTCGCAAGAGAAATAAAATGAAATAACGCTATTATCGCTGTGCAACTCCATCAACTATCAAAGACTCTTAGCTAGGTCTGTTTAATGATTGTCCATTTCAATTATGTCTCTGCTATATGTTTTGGTTTTCTTTTGTATCTGGAATTCAGTAATCAATCAAAGCTGTAATATTTCACAACTGGCCTTATTGTCGTTTCCGCCTGAAGCCAAGAGTTGTTTATCGGGCGACCATTTCAACCCACACACTTCCTGTTTGTGTCCCTTCAGCTCCCGGTCTGGTACCACCCGGGGATGCCTGATGTCCCGATGTAGGATACTCCTGTCTCTGGATCCACTCGAGATTAGATCTCCATTCCATGCCAGAGACGCTACACGCGCTGCATGGCCAGATAATTCATAGATCCTTTTTTGAGTTGAGACGTCCCAAATTTGAACCAATGCTCTCCTAGTTCCGATCGCGATTCGAGTACCCTTAAATTCGATAGCCTTATAACAAAATTAGTACAATGTTAGTGACTGTAAAAACAAAACAGAGCCAACAGACAGTTGGAAAAGAGTCAATGAACGCCAAGTATACATAACAAAATAAACACTTTTTTTTGAAAAATTCACAAATTTCGAAATTCAAAAAAAATACATGCCCATAAAGCTCTTTGAATTTCTAGAACAAATTATGATTGGCATTTTTTTGATAATCTTAATCCAATTTGAGAAATCAATCAGTGAAAATATTAATCCAATCAGTGAAATAATTGTGCGATAATTCAAGTTCTTGCAAAATTGAACTGATAATAGATATCAGGAGAATCCATGATTAGCAACTATGCTTCAAAAGCAGTTTTTTAGAATAAGAACAACCCAAGTGAAAAAAAATCATTTTGAAAAGGTGAAATCAGTTATTTCAAAGATTTTCAATCAGTTAAAATCATTTATCGCGGAAAAAATGCGCTCTGTTTTCAAATGATGCGCTCTAGCAACAATTGAAACACTTCAAATTTCAGAAAATCAAAAGCTAAAAAACTGATTAGCAAAAAGCTTACTGAGCAGATGGATGAAAGAACACTTCTTGAGTACAAAAAAAAGGAAATTCAGAAAAAAAATTGTTCGCCGGATTCAAGACTTTTTTCAGATATTAAAAGATTACTTTTTGACAAATAGGAGTGTCAGGAAAGTCTAAAGACATGAGACGAAAGCAAATCAGCTCAAAAAATAAACATAGCCAACAGGCAGTTGGAAAAGAGTCAATGAACGTAATTAAACAGAAAAAAAACTTGACTGAATTTTTGAAAATCTCAACTTCTGAACTTCAAAGAAAAAATTAGATACCCTTAAAAATCTTTGAAAGCAGTTTATGATTGGCACTTTTTCGATTAAATTATCCCAATCTGAGAAAAATGGATCAATAGGTAAATCTTTTATTTCGCTGAAATATGAAAATTAAACTCCATTTTCGAAAATAGAGGTCGATCACGTTTTTCGTGAACTTTTAACTTTCGCTGTTCTGTTCGATAGTAGAGTTTTCCCTTCTTTTAACAAAGCAAATGAAATCAACTTCAAAAGAAATCAAAAGTCAAACCACTAAAAGGTAAATTTGAGCCTTAACAAATTTAGAGCAAAAAAAATCATCGCGACCTATATAACTACGTTCATCGACAAAACCTTTACGATTTTAAACAGCTCATACTTAGAATTTTATCAACTTCGGAAGCTAAGCCGACAGAATTTCAGACGAAAATATTGAAGCGGAAAAAGAATTGACAGGGAAAAAAATATGCTCGGTTGTTACGCATAAAACTATCCAAAAGTTGAAGCTTGAACTCAGTACTTAAACCAGATAAATATGCAGCCTAAGAAAATTGGAAAACTAAATTTATAGAGGAAGTTACGAAGAAGGTCTCACTGGTCATCTAGCTATATACAAATATCTTACATATTGCCTGAGACGTTATACCTGAACCATCTGTGAACTGATAAACCTAAGATTAAGCACAAAATGAATCCTCAAACCAAAAATTTGAAAACATAGCCAACAGACAGTTGGAATAGAGCAAATTAACTCAAGTAAACAAAAAAAGAAAACTTTCGAATTAAAAAAAAACAGATAACCTGAAAATTTTTTGAATTTCTAGAAAAATTTATATTTGGAAATGGTTCGATAAAAGTAACCCAATATGAGAAAACTGAATCAATAAGTAAAATTATTATTTCGGTGAAATCTGAAAACTAAATTCCATTTTCGAAACTAGAACACGAAAAAAAATCAGCAAGACCTATAAAAGAGTCTTCACTACGTTCATTGCTCTTTAAAACGACACTAACACAGAGGCGGACTTGCAATCCGCATAATTAAGCAAGAAAATTTCAATTGCTCAAGAAGTGGAAACACAAATAAAAACAAAAATATCAGGCACCACCCAGAATCAATCACGCGACCTACAGATTCCAAACAAACTACACTAAACAATGGGCGACTAGACTTTGACATTGTTTCCATGAAATTGATCAGAAATCAACATGAATTTACACTACTTGCGATACCACATAAAAAAAGCATTGCAAGTTAGCAGACAGGCAGGAGAGCCACCAAGTCGAAACACCACTTCGAAAAACCGAATTCGAAAACTTGTGAAAAAAGCCCAGAAAGACAATCAATGGCGTTAAATGAAAAGTTAAAAACAAGTATCGAGCGGCAATTGAGCCGAGTAAACTCCCGTAGAACTGAAAACAAAATTATTGTCATGAAAAATAAACTATAAATTATATTCTAAGATTTTTTGCATTTTGCCCAATCCGAAAGAGAGCTTAAAACACCATGTTTATCTTGAAAGAATTCAGTTTTTAGGCGAAAAAAAAACAAACGAAAACATACGAAGTCAAGGTTGGTTAAAAAACAAAATCAAGTAGTAAATCAACACTAATAACATGGCGTCTCTAGCTTAAACATGGCGTCCACGGAGCACTTGGCGTTGCGGTTAAACAATAGAAAATACATAGATAGAAGATAGCTGTTTAAAATTCCCCAACTCCAACAAATTTTCGACTTGAATTGGGAAAACTTTGCATCACACTACAACACAAGCTAAGGTTGTGTGAACATTAGAATACTGAAGGCTCCACATACCCGATCGGCCCAGCTGACTGAAGTAACTGCGTCATCCTCAGACGCCAAATCGCACAACTTTGTAACCTAAAACAATTATTCAAGTGAGTATTGAAAATAGATTTTTCATATAAAATGTAGGACCATTATACTAGCATTTGATGAAGTTGCGTCCCACAGGTATGTACAGGATCCCAGTCCAACTGCTAAGAAGTTCTGTGAAGACCAATCAACTAAGTTAAGATAGAAATCGTCCTGCAGCTGCGGAGCGTCGAGCACTTTGAAAGGTTGCTTGCAGATTTTGCGAACTGCTTTACGAGGAGACATGAGAAGGTTTTGACTAAAATAATTGCTCTTTTATAAAGAAAAAATGGATGAACCGTACAATATCCCCGCCTTGACCGTCACAAAATCGATTTAGGGTGGAGAAAATACGAACTTTTGTCAAGATAAATTTGAAGAGAAAATTATATCAACCAACTTACTTTCAAGATTAAATAATCAGAACATAAAAAACGGCGATTCAACTGATTTTGTCACCTATAAAAAACTGTATAAATAATTTCAGAATTAAATTACTATATTTTACGCGTTTGTATGAAATGTATAAAATTCATATTTTTATACGCAATTTTTGGAAATAAAACATGCTTGGGGAAGGCATTCTTCGGTAGGTTACTAAGGGGTGGGGAAGGGGGAATTCTACTGTTGAGAAAAATAAAAAAAAGTTGGAAATGTCCATAACATAGTGGAAACCGACAACTTTCGAACAGATAAACATCGAGTTAAAGTCCTTTCAGTTTCAAGAACCTTTAACCAAAACATTTTCCATTAAACTAGCCTTAAAAGGAGAAAACTTTGTTCCGCTCGAGAATTAAAAAAAAACCCACTTTCGAAGAAGTCATTCAAGTTCTTCGCCCTATTTGCACTTTCGTTATTGAAGAGCGTATATGGTCTTCTTTTTGGCATTGAATTGAAATTGAATTGGTTAAAAAAACAAGAATCTTGCTCTCGCAAGCGTAAAATTCAAAAGTCAAACTGCAAAAAAAAACATTCGAGCGTGATAGTTTTTTCGACTTTTTCCTTAAAAAATACAAAAAACACGGCATAAACACGGCCGACAACTTTCGAACAGATAAATATAGAGTTAAAGTCCTTTCAGTTTCAAGAACCTTTTTCCAAAACATTTTCCATTAAACTAGCCTAAATGGAGAAAACTTTGTTCCGCTCGAAAATTTAAAAATAAAAACCTACTTTCGAAGAAGTCATTCAAGTTCTTCGCCCTATTTGCACTTTCGTTATTGAAGCGCTTATATGGTCTTCTTTTTGGCATTGAATTGAAATTGAATTGGTTAAAAAAACAAGAACCTTGCTCTCGCAAGCGTAAAATTCAAAAATCAAACTGCAAAAAAAAACATTCGAGCGTGATAGTTTTTTTCGAGTTTTTCCTTAAAAAATACAAAAAACACGGCCTAAATAAGTGTCCTAAATTTGTTCATTGACAATTGATAATTTACAACCAGGAAAACTGTAACGTAATTGATGTTGTTAAGAAGCTAAAGTTTCATAATTTGAACTAGTTGGACTTATTCAAGCCATATTTACGACATCAGATTATTCAAGCTCGTCTGAACTAAATCAGCAACCATAACCTGTTTGACAAACGTCTTGTCAGACGGAAGCAAAAACTCGGTAGAATTTTGTCAAGATTGAATGATAGTAATATAGAAACCGAGGTACGAAAGCCGTAATCTCGATAGTCAAACAATTACGATAACTAAGAGGAAAACGTGTTAACCCGGGAACACCACAAAATAACTTATGAAACACCCAGTTATTGAATATTATTCAGCCTGATAAAATAGCAATTACAAATTGTAATCAAATTATTCAGTGCGCCTAGTTTCAGAGCGATTTATTGAATAAATCAAACTTCAATTTATCAAGTTAACTTAAGTTTTTTTTATTTAATTCAAGCCCGGCTCAAATTACAGAAAGCCCGGCTCAAAAAGACTTGGTGATCTACTACAGTAGCTACAGATAAAAACAAGAATCAGGAAAAAATTCCAACTGATCAAAAATCGTTTATGCATGTCTCAGGATTGGAGGAAAATAACCAGTAAAATGATCGATACGGAATGTTTATGACTAACTAGTCGTGAATTGCTTATCGTATCAAGTAAGTCATCAGAAAACTCAAAAAATAATAATTGGAGCAATTTCAATTGAAAGTCGTTATAAACCGAGGTGAAAAACTGAATTACTGTTTAGAAAAACTTCTCTTTACTGAATTTAACAACGAACAGACTACAGTTGGAGGGACCTAAAACAACGTTATCTTAGCCAAAATTAGCGGGCAAAACCTAGCCAAAACTTCAATTACAGAGATAACTGATTAATAAGTAAGTTGTGTGAGAAATAAGTATGGCTACCGGGTCAACGGCAAGTTCATTATGGTTACCGGCAGGATGTTATTACCGGAGGCATTTACCGGTTCGCACGACTTGAAATCTTTTTAACTCATTTTGAGCTTTTTGCAGATCTACGAAACTGAAATTGTATCTAAGTGGAACCGAAATTGATGAACAACCGCATTATTTCGCATTAAGACTTAAGAGGCATTATTTCGCTTAAGAGGCTACTAGAATGAGCTATGATTCGACCCAAAAAACTTTCAAAGGAACTACAGTGAAAAAACAGTGGTCTCCCGTGGAAGGCTAGCGAGTTGCATACAACGGGCAGGTGAAGAACGGACAGATTTTCTAGAGATTAGCTGCAATCGTCACTGAAGGAATGGGGAGGAACGCGACGCAATGGGAACAGATATGGGAAACAAGGTTCACAAAATCCTTTGCAGTGGAAGTTCTCAGAGGACAACAGGAGTTACAGGGCATTGTGGTAAATAAAACAAAACATCGATCAGTGTTTCATATATTGCATAGAGCAAAATTTTCAAAAACAGAAAACTTCGAAGGTTTTACAAAATTAGAAGCAATTCACAATCAATTAGAAATGTTTTTCACGTGGGAATTTTTGACGAACCAAAACGTCTTGCGCAATATAGAGAAACAGAGTTGTTTCTTAATGCTGAAACTTGACAGCTGACCAGGGAAACCTCTAAATTTTAACATATGAAAAAGCACCATGAGGGCTTCACACCAAAAAGCAGGGGGTATTCTATATAATCATCAATGCGCTAAGATAGAAGTCAAGTTTGCTAATATATCTTTCTGCGCAGAAAAAGTATCGGCGAAAGTTTCAAGTCGTACTATGGGTACTCATGTCCGATACATGGACCCAGAAAGTAGAATAATTTACCGCAACAGCACAATCAATGTAATAAAGTCTTCCCATTGTATTCGAACTAGGTAATGGGTCTTGAACATCAAACGAACTTTCTCCGCAACTTTGATAAGAGATAGAGCAGACCGAAAAACTATATTCCAGCCGTAAACCCAATGAGTGAGTTTGGTTATTAAAGGCATCTGAAGCAACGCACCCGATTGACGGTTACACAAACAAACAATAAAGGCATGGGACGTATTGATCAAAATATTATTCAATAAAACACCATGCGCGAAAGCGTCGATTTACTACAAAAAGGGAGAGAAGAGGGCAATTACTGAAACATCAGATTATTCAACCTTGTCTGGGATAAACCAGCAACCAAAAACTTTGTTGACATTGGGTAAAACGTCTTGTCAGACGGGAGCAGAAACTCAGTATAATTTTGACAAGATTTAATGACATCGACATGTATATAGAAACCGAGTTGAGAACGCCGTAATATCGAAAATCAAATAATTACAATAAGTAAGAGTCACAGGGATTAAACCACAACAAACACAAAATACCCAGTTGGTGAATAAAATGCAGCCTAATAAAATAGCAATTCCAATTTGAACACAGAGGCGCGCATACACAAGCAGATATATGACCGATGCACTTCGCATACACAAGCAAAAATTTGACCGATAACGAGGAAAAACTGAATGAGTTAACTTTGAGTCTACGAAATTTCTTAAAAGAAGCACGCAATTATGATTCTATGTAATTGATAAGTGACGCAAGCCAATTATGACGCACTGACAGTACCAGTCAATTTGAAAAAAAAAGAAATATACCAACTAACATGCCTCAATTTATAGAGCGGACGCATTTCAACTAGTATACGATAAATTCATTAAAAACATCTGACCCTGCCCAGAATCGAGCCCTCTTATTTTGATGCGGGTCTTCTTCCCTACCTCTACGCTACAGATCCATGATACCTTGACGCTACAGCTATTTGTAAAAAAAAGGAGGGAATTAAAATGGGCCCTTCCTTCATGCCACAGTCCGTGCACAGGTTAGATAGGGCCGGTTTCGTAGCAGTATTTAGACAACCGCGTATTCAGAAACTGTATAAACCAATCTGAATCGAGACAAGAAAGATATGAATTTCATTTCTTTCCTTGTCTCGATTCTTTGCGACTACTTTGAGAGCGTATTCATTAAATAATTTAAACTTAAACTCTCGAACTTAAAATTATTCTTAACTAACTTAAAAACTAAAAGCATCTTATGTATTTAAAAGCACGGGAAGCCCGAATCAATCAGAGACTTGGCGGTCTACAACAATGTAATTACCTTGCTTTGTTTATAGGCGATAGACTGTAGTCAGGTGCTGAAGGATCCAAATTTTCAGTGCCCGGTACGCGGTTGGTTGTCTGGAATTGCAGAAGATTCTGGTTTGGATTTGTCCTGACCGGCACCAAAGCTCTCCGTTCACTTTGCGACAGATCTTGGTATTTTATATCTGATATGTCATGACCAAGCAACTCATTGGTCAGTAGACACGAATACGCATAATGGTCTACAAAAATATTGAAAATAGGATTACAAAGCAACTTGCCAACAAATAGTAGGAAGCGAAACTGACCTTTGGTCGAGTCGGGACACAGATCTTTGCTTTTCTTCGGCGGTGGAGCCGATGGTTTGTTCTTGTCATTTGGACTGCCAAAATTTAGTGCCCATCTAGCGTTTGTTCTGAGTGGGACAAACCTAATAAAATCTAATAAACTTACTAAAAAAATAGAAGCGTAATAGAAGCTTAGGAGATTTGTTTAATAAACACTTCTACCTAACTTTTACTTCTATCTATCTGAAATTGACCAACCTGTCAGCTAATTTTTCTTTTGAAGGTGATGCTAGCTTAAAGGGGCTGACACATTTGATGGGCTAAAATGTTACGTCTCAAGTTATATTTCAACCAAGAGAAGTAAAGGCTTCTAGGTTAAAACAAAAAAATTAATCATGAAATTTTCGACCAATAAATTGAAACCTACGCTCTGAGATGATCCAACAGAAGAACCTCCATAATGCTGCCGCATGAGCCGGTCTTGGTAATCCAAATCCATCGCTAACAACCACCAGCATTACACATACTGAAATTTCGACAATTCAGCTAACGAGAAGAAATTACAGGCAGAGAAAGCTTTTTTTGAAAAACGACTAATCAATTATCTGACACCCTGGCATTTATATTCGAGAAAAATTAAATTTTAATTGTTTTGAATCAAATAAAAAAAGAATCCAAGAAGTCAACTCATTATTCATATACAAAATTATTAAACAAACTTGAAACAAAAAAATTCAATTAGAAAAATGGTAAATTAGAAAAACTGAATTCAATTGGATCTACTGAATCCAATTGGATTCACTGAATCCAATTGGATCTCACTTCGCCAAGGCGTACCTCAAAGTACAATTTTGGGACCCCTAATTTTCAACCTTCACTTAAATGACTTGAACAACAATTTCACTGGATCTTGCAAAGTGGTACAATAGGCAGATGATACACTTCTTTTCTGTGATGATAACGACATCAAAAAGGCTCTACAGCTACTGCAAAATCCTGTCAGAATTTCTCTCTGTACTTCACAAAACATTCTCTAAAACTCCACAAAGAAAACTGAGTTGATATTTAGCAAACAAACATCAAAGCAGAAACCACAATTCAAAGTTCAGTATAATATTAGATGATAACAAAATAGAAGAAAAGCCAGGAGTAAAATAATTGGGGGTAATTCTAGATCAATTTCTATCCTTTCAGAGAGAAGTCAAAAATATATTCCGAAAAATGGCTTGCCGGATTAAAACACTACAATCGATAAAAAAAACCACAGACAATCACAAACCGATTAAAATTACTGAACGCTTTAATCATAAGCCATATGCACTACCCAGCAAAACTATCAAGCAGTTTGACATCCAATCTAGAAATATCGCTAGAAAAACAACAGTTGGGCAGTAAAGACATGCTTTGACAGGAAAAAAAATGATTCTTCATCCGATCTTAAGCTGGAATACAAGGTAATTCCGGTTTCCTTGACTCTCGATTGAAAAACAGTTCGCCATCTATGGAAAATCAAACATAAACTAGTACCAGCAGACACAAAAATCAAGTACGGGAAAAATACAATTGATGAGAACAAAAAACTACACTTTCAAGCAAGATTCAGCAGTCATTACATCGAAAATTGTCTTTTATTCAGAAAATCAATTATCACTTGGAACCAAATTCAAAATGCAAATTCAAACATATACAACAGCAGTTTAACTTAAAAGACTGAAATTCAAATTTAAGGAATATTTTCTTTCTATTTTTTGTTTAGATCCTTCTATGGCAACCTATGGAAAAACAACTTGGAAACAATTTAAATTTATTTGATGTTGAAACTTTAACCATTATTTTAATAATTCGTAAATAAATATATAACCAAGAAAAGTTGTGTGACTTACACCTGCTTATTAATATTAGTCATCATATTGCAATTGAAGCGTTCTTTTTTTCTAAATATCATGCAGACTAGAATGAGAAATGGAAGAAGAAGGAACACTTATACACACTTATTACAACACACATATTACTATACACAATCATGGAGCAAAAACAGCAGCAGGCGAACTCTCAAGGGCTGGAGATCTCTCAAGGGCTTGATGAGAAACACGTCCAAAAAAAGCAACCACGGAAACAAAACTCAATGCTTAAATAGGATATTTTCTCCCTGTACTAACATATGCCTCACAGGAATGGTATTCCTTAGACCGATATTGAAAAGATCGATAAAAATCAGAAAAAAAGCGACTACATGGATACGCAACGGCACTACCGACTTCAAAGAGCCTAATTGTTGTGATAAAGTTATTAGTTAGTTTCTGGTGTGATGGCGAGGAAACTGATGGAGTAATATTACATCTGCACGCTCTGGGATCAATGCCTACTCTGAGAAGTCATTTGTCTCGAGGAACCAATGCAAGTTGCGCGTCGACAACCTGCGGACAACCATCAGGATCACCGTGGGTTCAATGTGATCTTTGCGATGATTGGTATCACATCGACTGTGCAGGTGTGTTTTTCACAAGAGGATGATATCAATCTGCCTTTCCATTGCGAGCGATGCAGGGAAGAGCTATTGCAACAGTCGTCTGCTTAAGTCACATATGAGGTTAAGAAGAGTAGGCCCTATAATCATTGGCTCAAGGGTCAGGGACACTGTCTCTTGTGCTTTTATACCTCATACAGTCGGAGCCAACTTGGTTCGCGTAAGACATGAGACTATAAAATCGTGTTACAGCTTAAAAGCCACTACTAAAATATCCCCCCTCACTCTAGAAAAAAGAACGTCCCCGTGGCTAGGTCTCTATATACCTAAATTACGCGAACGCCATTAAGAACAGGGTTGGAAGCTCTAGTATACCTTCAGTTTTTATTGGACGTGGACCTTTGATCCATTTCAGATGGATCCACCTAAAACTCATCTTGTCTCAACAAAATCACATAAAATGCACTCAAGAAAACATATTAAGTACTCACATAGTGACGCGACTCTAGAATTAGGTAAATAATCAAATTAAAGCAACTCTAGACGTTTTTTGTTATAAGTGGTTTTGAATCAAGAAGTTTAGTTTTCTGAATCATTCGGCAGCTCCACTCGTCTGCCTGCCCAGTCAGGATTTCCTCTCGCGCAGCGATGGTACTCTCGTAAGACTTTGCGATGCTCTTTGTCAGGAACAAGACAGCTCTACTCGAATTGTTGATTTCAGTAAAATTTCGAACAGCAGTTTTACTCCAGTCTGATTTTTATCGACTTTCCCGCAATTCTGATTCGAGTCTCCTCTATCAAATCAATTGTCGCGAGAAATTTGAGCATGACAGGGTCGATTCAATTTTTTCAAAAATTACTAGCGTGTTATGCACCTCCGGTGTTTCGACTTTTTGACAACTCAAGAAAAACCGCATATATTGGAAACCAGATCTGCAGGCTTTAATGTACTCTGACACCAGCCAATTACAGGGTTGGTAATTTCAAATTTATTGAACTTTTTTGAATTCCAATTTTCCGTCAAATCTCGAAAACGTCATATCTCAAAAACTACAAATATTTGAGTAGTCATATTTTGGGGCAAGATTTACAACTCCTGGGAGTACCCTGGCAGCACCCAATTACAGGCTTGGGATATTTAAACTTAAAGAATTTTTCTAAATAAAAATTTACTGAAAATTTTTGAAAAATCATAGCAAAACGTCATATCTCGAAAACTACAACGATTTGAGCAGTGATATCCAGAGACAATATTTGCAACCTCTATGAATACCGAAAGAGCACCCAACTACAGGGTTAGGAATTCCAAATGTTTAAAACAAAAATTCATTTTAAATTTTCTGAAAAACTTTGAAAAAATCACTTAAAACGCCGGATCTGGAAAACTACAAAGATTTGAGTAGTCATAATTGGAGGCATGGTTCGTAACCCCTGAGAGGGTTCTGATAGCCCCCAGGTACAGGGTGGGGAATTCAAACTTTGAAGAAAAAAAATTTCGTTCAAGTTTTCTAAAAATTTTTTGAAAAAAACTACAAAAACGTCATATCACTAAAACTACAAGGATTTGAGCAGTCATATTTAAAGGCAAGATTGGCAATCCCTGAGATTACCCTGACAGCATCCAACTACAGGCTAAGGAATTTTGAATTTGGAAAAAAAAATTAATTTATTTTTTTTTTGAAAATTTTTCGAAAAAATCACAAAAAACATAATATCTCGAAAACTACAAAGATTCGGGCAGTCATAATTAGAGGCAATTCTCGCAACCCCGGAGAGTACTCTGATATCCCCCAAATACAGGGTTCGGAATTTCAAATTTTCAAGAAAAAAATTTCGTTTAAGTTTTGTAAAAAAAAACTTTGAAAAAAATCGCAAAAAACGTTATATCTCGAAAATTACAAGGATTTGAGCATGCATATTTTGAGGCAAGATTAGCAACCACTGAAAGTACCCTGACAGCACCCTGCTACAGGGTAAGAAATTTCAAATTTTGAAAAAATAAATTTTTTGAAAATTTTTAGAAAAAATCACAAAAAACGTCATATCTCGAAAACTACAAGGATTTGAGCCGTCACATTTGGAGGCAAAATTCGCAATCCTTGAAAGTACTCTGACAGCACCCAACAACAGGGTTAGGGGAAGTTTGCTAAATTATGTTGGAATTTGAGTTTTCAGAAAAGTTTTGAAAAAAATCACGTAAATCGTCGTATCTCTTACACTATAAGGATTTGAGCATTCTTAAATGGAGGCCAAATTCGCAGCCTTTTGGTGAATCCTGACAGCATCCCATTACTGGGCTGCTAATTTTAAACTATGGAATAACCACTGAATTCAAACTGGAAAATCGAAAAAATCTTAACCATTGCAATATACGATATAGCTTAAACATGCAAAAATATTACGTTGAAAAAGCTTAAACGTGGCGAGATAGTGAAGCCCGCATTTAAATATATAACTAGCAAATAACGCACCTTCGGTGCTTCGAAATATTTCGACAACTCATGAAAAAAACCGCATATATTGGAAACAACATCTGCAAACTTTAAGTGTACTCTGATTTGAACTTTTAAATTTTTTTAAATTCCTATTTTAAAAGCGTCATCTCGAAAGCTTAATGGGCCTCTGGAGAAATTTGGAAGCCAGATTTGCAACCACTGAGAGTCCCTGAGAGCACCCTACTATCGGGTTAGGAATCCAAAATTTTGTGAAATTTTTCAAACCTAAGATTCCCGAAAAAAAAATTGAAAAAACGTCTTATCTCGGAAACTGAAAGGATTTGAGCATTCATATTAGGAGGCAAGATTTGAGACGCCTGGGTGTACGCTGAAAAGAAGGTTGTATCTTCATCAAGTTAGTAGTTTCAATTTTTTTGAATTTCTTTGTAGATTAGTTCTGTGAAAAATTTTGAAAAAAATCGAAAAACGTCACATCTCGGAAACTAAAAGCATTTGAGCAGTCGCGTTTAGCAGTCGCATGTGGCAAGATTTGCAACTCTTTAGAGTACCCTGACAACACCGAACTACAGAGTTGGGAATTTCAAATTTTAAATAATTAATTTAA